GGGGCAAAATGGGGTTTTGAAAATACACCCCTTTCAGAGCCTCAGAGCATCGAAAAAAATATTGGATTTGAAATATCGCGAGAAGAGACGTCGCTATCTTTTACTTTTGTTCACGTTTTTTTCAAGTATCGTCGTTGAGAGGTAAATACAACTTTGTCAACTTTTTCATCTTATTTTTTAACATTATATTTTAAGAAGCAGCTTCTTTGTAATTAAAGCTTTGAATTAAATATATTATTGTTCCTGAATGATATTATATATTAAGCAATTAAGACTCTTATATATTCATGAGCTTTGCTCTGCTTTGTTTTTTCGAACAGTTTTATTATGCCTCCTATGTTGGGGTAAAATGGGGTGTCTCAAAGGGGCAAAATGAGGTATTTCCCCATTTTGCCCCGGTAGTGTTATTTATCTAAATTATAGAAATGAGATGTGGTTTATATTTAAACATGATTCTATTTTTTTAAATTACTAATAGACTCAATAGGCCTGCTATAATTTTATTCAATAGGCCTAGGTTCTTTTAATAAATAATACTAATACTTAATACTAGCCTATTTTTAAAATATAATTTTATTGTTGTTAAAGTTCAGTTAAAGTATTATTAAAGCCTATACTATAGAACTATAAATATAAAATAAGAAAGTCTAGTTTGAGCTAAGTCATCTATGTTGGAAATCTTGTCTAAAGAGAGAAACAGCTATTTTGACTTCTTCGCCTTATAAAAGATCATTAATGGAAGCCAAAGAAAAAAAGAATCCAAAGAAAAACAAATCTGTCAAAAAATCAAATGAAGACACACCATGCCTCTATTGTGAGGATCTTTATTCCAGCAGCACAGAGAGTTGGGTCTCATGTACTGAGTGCCACAGAAGGGTCCATTATTCTTGTGCAGGCATTGATAAAAGAAACAAAAAACCTTACTTTTTGTGTGAGCTATGTACTAGCAGTGATTGATTATATTTGTATTAGCAGTTATTGATTATATTTGTACTAGCAGTGATTGATTTATCATATTTGTTTGAGTTCCTCCTTTGACCCCATTTTGCCCCATCCATTACCCCGTTTTGCCCCATGCTTGGGGTAAAATGGGGTTTTTATGTTATTTAAAAAAAAATGTAATAAATCAATTAATTTACATTCTTTTGACTTGCTGTTTTGTTACAATGTTGTCTATGTTGTATTTTGATGTTTCAACATTTATTTGTAATCATTTTATTTATTTTTGTGACTTTTATAGGGTTTCATTCTTAAGTACCCCATTTTAACCCAGTTTCCCCTATTTGTGTAGGTTCATCAAAACTTTTTAACCACCCTTGAGCTTTTGGGCATGCAAAATAAGGCACTCCAGTTACATCTAGAATAAATTTCGCGACACTAAAAACAAGTAACAAAGATGCAAGAGCACTATTTAAGCTAGAAAACTCAAAGTGAGTTTATTATGGCATGTGGAGAAACTGTTTTTGCTGCTATTGTCAAAGAGAACCACAGCCATTTATTTCTCCGATATTGTTGACGGAAATCCGGATGTGTTCCATACAAAACAAATCAAGTTTGTTCATAGATTTGTCCGCCGAGGATCTGACAACTAATTGATAGTAAAATAGCGTTTTATGAATGTAAAAATTCTGGAGAGAAAAATAATTGCGAAGCAGTTTATAGACGTTTTGGATCAAAGCCAAATTAATTTAAAAAACTGTAGAGGCAAAGGCTATGATAACGGGGCTAATATATTAAGTGCATATAAAGGAGTGTAGCCACCGTTCTCGGGAAAAATCCTTAAGCTTTATACGTGCCTTACAGTGCGCATAGTCTTAATCTAGTTGGAGTTTATTCCGCGGAACCTTTTACTTTAGTCAAGAACTATTTTGGCGATATCAAATTACTGTATAACCTTTTTAGTTGTAGTCTTATATACTGGAAAAGTTTGACTGAGGCAACTGAGTTGTCCCTTTACCAAAGTTTCAAACAAGATGGAGTGCGCGTATAGAAGCTTTGTGGTCACCGTCGAAACGACCCAAAGAAATAATGAAGTCATTGCAAATTTTCAAGAACTTGATTTAGAAGATCATCAACTGACTTTAGTTAACGCACTCCAATAGGGATTCAATCATTTGAAGTCATTGTCTTGACATCTTTCTGACTCAAGACTCTTCTATGTGTCAACAATGTCTGCTTCCTTTTTTAATCAGAAAGCATTTCTTTGGACGTTAAGAAAAAAATTTTAAAGATTCTAGTTAATAATCTTGACCAACGTTCTACAGCCCCAAATCCTCCAAGAAAAAAAAACTGATT